ATTAAAAAAGATAAAATTAATATAGATAGAAAGTTGCAGTGGTATTGCCTCAATAAGATCACAGAATCACAGAAAATGAAGGTTGGAAGGGACCTCTGGAGGTCATCTAGTCCAACCCTCTGCTCAAAGCAATACAGTCTCCAACTATACCATCCTACCCAAGTTTTTGTCTAGCTGGGTTTTAAAAACCTCCAAGGATGGAGATTCCACAGCTTCTCTGGGTGAGGGAAGCAGGTTCAGTCCGTGGGACAAAACTGACCCTGCCTGCTGCAGGCAGAGTACAGGATCAGTCCAGCACAAGCACCATGGGCAGTGCACTGCTGCATGCTGCATGCAGTCTGTGGTGCCAGTACAAGATTCACAAGCAATATCTTTGATGTGCCTGATTTAGATGAACATCCTTCCCTCACAATATAGTGTTCTGCTGTTTTGGCAATACCATGACTGAAATGCATTAATGAGTTAGGAAGAATTCAGAGAAGAGCAACAAAAAAGATCAGAGGGCTGGAGAAAATTGCTTATGAAAGAAAATGCATAAAAGAAAGATTCTAAACCGGTATAAATTAGAAATACTGGTAGCCCCACTGGAGTCCGTTAAGGTGGGGAAAAGGCCCAAATAAATACAGTTTGGCTAACTGATTTAAAAATGTCTCTTCAAATACTTGAAGGCTTTTAAACATTAAGGCTAGATTAAAGATAAAAAATAACAATAAGAGAATTAACAAATAGATGGTTTCAAGGGAAAATTCCAGTAAATGAGATGAATTGAACTGAAAAATTCTCTCATTACTGAAGAGTAAGGCCAATTTATCACAATATGGCCAATTTATCACAGAGAGATTATCCATGTTTCCAGAAAACTAGGAATTATGGGTAAGGTAGAATCCTGCACATTTCCCAAACTGTTTGGGTTTATGCACCACCACAGTAAAGTCAGTCACTCTTGTGTCCTCTACTTCCCCTCCAATACCTTCTCTACTGTTACTTTCCCCCATCTCTTCCTTCACCAATTCATCTCTCTACCAATTGCTGCCAGCATCCTGACTTCACGCTCTCAAGTCTAGGAATCTTTTGCACTTCCCTAAGGGGAGCTCCCCACAGCTTGTGAAACACTGCTGTACAGTACTTAGCTATAATGGAATTAATTTCAGAAGATAGTTCACATTATTCTATACTTTAGAATCAGTCATTTTTAATAATTTCAAACATTACATTCAGTTCAGCATTTGACTGTGACATTAATAGACTTGCATGGATATAAATGTGACGAAGGTATTCAGATGGGGTGAAAATAACTTCTGAAAAGAAAACCAGCCAGAAACTTCATATCACTTCAAACCAGAATTCACCAAACATTTAAATATATGCTCAAGTATCTGCCTAGGGACAGACTATGCAACAAGTCTTACATTCTTATATTGAAGCCTTAAATGTAACTTAAATAATGCAGAGCTGTTCAGTGGCGCTTTGCACAGGAGCAAATCTGATGAATGCAGATTTAATCAAGGAAATGTTGATTATTATTTAGAATCATAAATGATGATAAATTTATGGCAATATTACTGCATTGTTTAAAATAAAACCCAAAACAAATTGGAGTCAGAATATTTTATTTAAATACTTTTAATGAAATTTTAGTTTTTCAATTCAGCAAGGAAGTCTACAAATGGTTTAAACACTCTGGAAAGTCAGTTAATATTAATACCCCTATTTTTTCAGTAGAAATTTAGGTATAAGGAAGTTGAACAACATCCAGACCAGCACAGCAAATCTTTAGTAGTCAGGGATGCAATCCAGAGCTTTGGGTTCTCTAGTCTAACTGCTGGATCATACCCATCACTAAAATAAATTACATACCAGAGTGCTCTTCTGAGCCTCAGCCAGCTTTGTAGCTATGAAATATTGTATCGGAGCAAGCAATACAATTACAGCAGCACCAACTAATGCACTCTCTCCAAGCAAGTTATAAAGTAGGATCACACCCATTATGATCTAAGGAGGGGAAAAGACACATAGAAAAGCAATACATTTCAGTACTCTAGCAACAGAGCAATGGAAAGATATAGTCTTAAACTACATAAGGCATTTTTTTACAAATTTTTAGATTAATGTAAATAAAACCACTTTTACTTCAAAAACTTTGAAAATCTAGGGAAAGAGCCTACAGATCTATATTATTTCTGATTGATATGTTTGTTAGAGCTATATTTAATACTGCTATTCATGGATGAAGACCCCATCATATGGGCTGCCTATAGACATACCTGTTCACATTTTAATTAGAACACATTGGAGAAGACTCAACTAATTGAGTCTGCTCCACATTCTAATTAGAATGCTCCAGCATCGCTTCACTGTCATGTGCATTAAGCTTCCCCCATGTTTCAAAATGGCTGCAAGGGCACTTTTTAACTAAATCTCATCAAATGAGTTTTAGTTAAAGAGCTCCTGTAGCCATTTTGAAATGTGTAGGGGCTTAATACACGTGACAGTGAGCTGCTTTAATTAGAGAGGCTGTCCAGAAACCACTCTAATTAAAACACTTCCCACCCCGCTCCAGGCACATGTACAGGCAACCTATTGTATTAGGAGCTGTACAAACAGAACAAAAAAACAGTGCCTGACCCAAACAGCTTTGCATGAGTAGTTCCATGTCATCAATATACAGGCTTTATTGATTCAGCACTTGTCATTCTGCTGATTACTAACAAAGGAGAAATTTAATGGTGAACTTATACTGCATACAGCTTTCCACTAGGACTTAGTAGATGTATCTACACGTGCATTTAGGCATGCCTAAATTTAATTTGCATTAGCTTAACATGCATTAAGGCAATTTAGGTTCACGTCTACACATTCATGCGTTAAAGCACATTAACACCATGTGCACAGAGTGATGTGGGACTAAGGTTAGTCTCAAGTCAGTCCATACACAGCATGAATGTGTCTTAATAAGTCTACATGTGCATTAATGCACTTTAGCTATTCACTCCTAAATCTGATACCTGCTTTTGATATGCACCCGCTCTGAAACCACCAGTTCATTTAACAACCAAAAACATGTAAAATGATAACACTAACTAACTAAGGTAGCTTGGCTTTCAGGCATGGCTTTCAAAATTAATATCCCTTTATCATTCTTAAGCTTCTATACTAGCCAAGGGCTTGACTATTTCCATTATTATTATTGTTATTATTGTTGTGGATTGGTCATATAGTGTTTTAGATTTATGTGATCAAAACATAATACAGCAAAATCTTTCAGCTCCTAGGTATTTTTTCCATGGCAGGTGTCAATGATACACATTATGAAAAATCCTAAACATCTATACATTCATCATGTTTTCTCCTGGGAGAGCAGCAATTCTCCCAGAAGAAAATGAAATCTGTACACGGCCAAAATTAAATGTGCCAAGCAATAAAATGCAGCTCCTTCTATTCTGCTGCTCTTGCAACTTTTCAGTTTGTCCATAAGATAGGCAGGTCCTGTCCTATATAGACTAATGTACCTATTGAGAGTAGGATATTAAAAAAACAAATAGAGGAGGAGCTGTGGGCAAAACTAGTCATTATTGGTAAAATCTGCAACTTTGCAACCCTAATTTGAAAGCTTTACCATAAAAATCTTTCCTTGCTGGCCTGAAGGTAAGCAGCTCACCATGTTGGGAGAATACAAATACACAGCATTTCAACCATTTCCTTCCTGGACAGATCTTTTCATTTGTAGGTATATATAAGGCTATACTTCCCCTGCATTTTCTAAAATAGCCTCCTAGATGGTCGCTGTGTTAAAAATATCTTCTATTTTCAGGGTTTTTCCTTCTAAAAACTAGGCCCTTACTTCAGTGCTGTACCTGTACAGGCATAGCCCATAGGTTGGGACATAGGAACAAGAACCACATTAGCTGATTTGTTTCGATGGCAACCAAGTTATTGATCTGTCCCAATGTCATCTCTCCCATGGACAAGTTGGATGTAGAAAGCCTCAGAATCTTATTGTATATCATTGCCTGCAGGAAGGAATAAAATACAGTTTATAAAGTTGCAACAGTGAATGGACATTGCAAAGTTGAATATCAATAACTTATTCTTTCCCTGCCTACCCCCCAAGCCACTGCTGACAGTTGGCAGCTGGCAGGGGAGGCAGAGCTGGGAAGAGGGCTGGTCCAGCAGCAACCTCTTGCGAGACTGCTGAAGCACCTCCACCTGCTGGCCTGGGCCACTGCCGGTGCAGGCAGGCTCCGAGCCCCCACCCCCTACCCCCACAACCAACATGCAAAAGCCTGTTGGGTTCCATGGCACTCTAACTCATGGTACTTTGTGTAAAACACCATAGTTAAAGTACCTCCCCAACAGGCTGCCTGAACTTCTGTACATACCCTAAGTATGCCTAACTTAGCTTTTCTCTACCTACTGTAGCTTGCTGGTAGTTTAGATAAAGGGCTAGTTTAGATGAAGGGCTTGGAAAAATTAAAGAATGAAACTAGATCCATTATTAGAGCATTTTACTGCAAGCAGATCATGGAAACATCTTTACTCACCAGTAAGGCACCTCGCAGATTGATGCCAGTTTCAGTGGTAACATAATAGGAAGCCTGCAGAAATGTTCTTTGTAGGATGAGGGCCAGGAACAGCAGAACTGCTAGGACATAAGCATTTCCAAGGAAATCCTGTGAGGACAGGTACGAGTCTGATTGATCCTATGACCAAAAAGAATGAGAAATGTAGAGAGATGGTCTGTTATTTGGACAAGGAGAAATGGGAGATTCGATTTTTACAGTGGAGCAACAATGATAATCAAACTGTAGTAAAGATGCGATTACTTCAGTTTACTGCATAACATCATGGCTTTGAACTTCTTTGCAACTACAGGGTGAGAACCTAGATGTTCCATTACCAAAAGTACTTGAACACTCATGTAACTGAAGAGAATTGCTTTTAGTAGAAGAAGGAATATGAGCCAGTTCTTAGTAACAGTGATGAATAAAGGTGTGGGAGGTGTTTAGCTCTGTTAGTTTCAAGTGAGGAAGAAGGTAGTGTAGAGTGGTACCTTAAAAACTAACTGGTTCAGAGGCATGAGTGTTTGTAGGCAACAGCCTACTTCATCAGATGCTAGTAGCTGCTGCCTAAGAATGCTCATGCCCCTCTGAATCAGTTAAGATGCTACCTTGCCATTCATGGTGTAGGAGAAACAGTTCACACTACTGATCAGTCTGTATCAGTGCTGAATGACTGGGCTGTTGATCTCTGTCTGTGGCCAGAGGAAAATTAGCAACTGGAATCTTTGAGCTTGGCACACAGACAGCATGGATAGCTCTTGAGTTTCTATCACAAATCTCAAATATTTGGTACTTTCTTAAGTACTCCATGCAAAATATTTAATATTCAAAACATTTTCAGCCAAGTTTGCTGGCTCCTCTACTCTCCCTTTCCTCCACAGAGTAAGTAATCTGCACTAGACCTATACCAGGCACAGATTAATCTCCCCTTCAAATCAGCTGTGGCTCACCTGGCTGTCTTCTATCTACTTATGTGGGAGTAGAAGTAGCAGTTTTGCAAGGGCTGATTTTCTTCCTCGTCAAACTACAATTCATGATACGAGTGACCCATGCAAAGGAATAGGTGATGTCTTATACCACCTGTTGCTGTGCACAGATGAGTACAGTAAACCATGACAGTTCCCAATAAGATGCAGGTAGACTCACACTAAAAGAATCTGTACGACAATTGGTGCTTATATGAAGGAAAAAGGGAAAAAGTTTCTTATTCCTTTGCAGATCTTGTTCTAAGTGACCCACACCTTAGTAGTGGTGTGCAATATTGAACAAATGTATCAGGCATTGACAACTTTAGGTTGCCCATTAGATTCTGCAACTTTAGATTATTTTTTCTTTAAAAAATACCTGTGTGCACAGGGCAGTGCTGTATTTCAAAAAAGTGCTCAAACCATATCTTTACCCATACTTTTTTTCAAATCTCTGTCAACACAATTTTAGTTTGAGAACAGATACCAAAACTTCTGCAGTCTGCTGGATGTGAACCACTGAGTTTTGAATTCCAATAGCAATGGAAAAGTCAGGAATAACAAGTTAGCAAAGAAACTATAATTAAATTATTACATTATATTATACATATAATACATTGAATTATATTAATGTATACAAATTACATTACATTTTTCTTCTGATCCCATTAAGCAAATCATGTTGTTCATACATGTTGTACCAAAGGTTCTCAAGACACATGTTGTCTGATTATTCATATCGCAATAACAACACAAGAAAATTAAGTGCCAGCTTCCTCATAATGTCCTACCAATGCACTTCAGTCATCTCCTAAAGACCTAAAGCAACCCTGCTAAGGGGCAAAGGAGCAGTTCACTCACCCAGCTTATTATGTCATTACTTTCTCTGCTAAGTTCTGACTGTACTTCTTGGGATGCAGATCATACCTAGTAGAAAATGGAGCCCTTGTGAAAATAGACCATGGGGCAGCTGACAGATGACAATAATTATTACCTTTGGAAGGTTATTGATATGTTATTTGTATTACATATATTTATTTTGATATATTTAATTTGTATTAAATCCTGCTATGGGATAAGCAAATAAAGTCTATTCATACAGTATGGCTATTAAGAGTTGGAGAAACAACTGAATGAAATAAAAGTGAGTATGCTGATCCTTCACTACAACTGAGAGTTGAATCCATCAAGAGGGGGAAAGGACTTTTGCTTAATTCATTTTATTTGTTTGTATTTTCTCCTCTTAACACTTCTCTGTGTTGCTCAATTTAGGCCAAAGCAGGAAGTGAATGTATCAAAATACCGTGAAGAAAACTGTTCTTATGGAATTTCCGATCCAGCTGGAAGTAGGATGTACTGGAATCCTTACAAAAAGCCTGTTCTGTTGCTTGATTTCTAGATGACAAGGTTTGGAAGACTATGAAACCAAGCCACATCTCTAGACCCTCTGAGATTCTTTCATCATAAGTGACTACACTACTGTGCTTTGCCATCAGATTATGGGGGAAAACTACTCTGCTCCGCTTGTACTGACTTGAATGCAGTGCCTTCATCTGGACCCCATCTTAACTCACTCCTTCAGCATAGACAGTCTCTGACCCAAACAGAGGATGATCTTGTGGTTATGGCACTGGACTGAGACCCAAGAGAGGCGGCTTTATTTCCCAGCTCTGCTATGGACTCCATGTAAAGTACTGAGCAAGCCTTTTAAATGGCCAGATTTTCAAAAATATTTAGGTACCTAGGTATGCAGAAAGGCATTTCATGTCACTTTCTAAAGGGCCTGAGCAAGTTAGGCACCAGAGTCCTATTGATTTCAATTGGAGTTAGGTGCTCAATCTCTTGAACCCTTTTGAAAATCTCATGAGACACGTCCCAAGTGCATATGTAGTTTATGGCACCACGAATCCATCTGCAGCAATGCGAACTGCACATGCTGCACATCCATGCTTTTGCCACACTGCTAATTATCAGTGCAATGGGGGGCGGGGATGGGGGTGGGGGAGGGCGTTGACACCAGGAGATCTTGGTGTCAAAAAAACTGCCAGAAAAAATCAGGGAAGTGCATGTGGCAGCAGTGTGCACTGCCTGAAACTGGAGCCTAGCCAACCAGAACCAAACTCCAGCTGCTGGCCAGGCTGTGCACCCAGGTCACTGTTGCTGCAGCCCCAAGACACCTCCAAGACCCCAGGTAAGGCAGCTGGGGCCAGCCCAAGTGCTTCAGCTCCTCTATCCCACCCGGGATAACTTGCTGTGTACCACAGCAGGCATGCAGGAGCATTCCCCAGGGATAGCTAGCAGCAGCACAAACACGTGCTGCTGCTATTTGTCCCTGAGAAAACACACATTCCTGCTCAGGGGAATGCAACCATGGGGCGCATCCACACATGCAAACACATGTGCTTGCAGCAGCTCATATAGAAGCGGTGCAAATTTGAGCTGGGGCTTTTTGCCTCAGTGCACATGCCCAGACATGCACTTTGTTGTAGAGCAAATTGTGCCACTTGGGAACAAATAATCCTGCCTGGCGCCTCCCGGATTTGCAGCCAGGGAGAGCTAGAGCCTGGGGCCACCACCTATGCTGGCCCCAGCAGTATAAAAACCTGTCCTGTGCTGGCCCCAGCAGTATAAAAACCTGCCCTAGACCGCAGCTAAAGGCTATGTGCACTCAGGAGCTTCTGAGGCTGGCATCACCCGTATCGGAGACCTCCTGGGCTACAATAGGCAGGAGTGGGTGGACTCTGCTGTGCTGGCCCGGCACATGGGTCTACCCATGACGCATGCAACCTGCCATCTGGTCCAGGAGGTGAAATCTGCCCTACCTCCTGACACCCTTGCCTTTGTTGACCAGGCCCTGCACAGCAGCGGTTCCCCACCCCCCCAATGTCCTCCAGCCCACCGAAGTTTGTCGTGGGGCCGGCGCCTCACCTGGCTTCATGGCGCTCCCCATTCCACCACCTGAGCTGGCTGGAGGACACCAGACTGCTTTTCCACCAGCCATTGCTGCCACCTCTATACGCTCATGCACTACACTGTCCATCATGCCGCCCTCGTATCCTACCCAGACACCAAATGGCAGGATCTGCTCAGTGAAGGCATAGATGGTGCACACCAGTGGCTGAGTCTGTACTCCACCCTCATCCCACGAGCCACTGGGGACCTCAGCTGGCAGTTCCTCCATGGAACCGCTGCCACAGGCGTGTATGTGGTGAGCTTCACAGACACCTCAGGCTCCTGTCCCTTCTACGGGCAAAGGGAGACCCTGGCGCACATGACCCTCAAGTGCACCAGGCTGCAGCCCCTCCATCTCCACCTCCAGAATCTCCTCTTGAGGTTCTGGTTGAATTTCACCTTTTTGTTTTTGGTCATCTCATCCATGGCCCCACCAAGTCTGACGACCTCCTGGTCAGCCTCCTCCTGGCCCTGACCAAGTGGGACCTGTACTTGACCAGGCAGGAGGCTGTAGCCAGGAATCTGCCCAGAGACTGTGGGGTTGCCTTCCTTTCACTTGTCCATGCACATTTCTAGGCAGAGCACCAGTGGGCGGTGTCCACCAGCTCCTTGGATACCTTTGAGGACCAGTGGGTGCGGCCTGGGGGACTCTGCTCAGTGTCCCCCTCAGGCACATTTATTTTCATGTTTTGACCCACATAATACTCTTATCCTGTTTTTTTCATTAGTTGTCCTAAGTATTTTGTTGTACCATTTACACATGAGCCCCCATACAATAGGGGCTGCTAGTTAGCTAGGTGGGCCTTAGGGCCCATGGTATTTGAATGTTACTGTCGCAGTGCACTGAAGTGACTGCTCCTAGAAAGAAGGACAGGTGCCAGTTGCCGGGGCAACCACAGTTCGTCAGCTGACCAGAAGGGGGCATGGTCTGGCCTATATAAACAGCCCAGGCTGAGGCCAAGGAGACAGTTCCCCTCTGGCAGCCAAGGGAGAGGGAGTGCCGCTGGAGCATTGCAGCCTAAACAAGTGGGATGCCCTGAACAGCTTCAGAGCACGGAGAATGGGAGGAGATGCCCCCTGGTAGTTGCCAGGCAAAGTTCTCCTGCCCCTGGGCTTCCGTAACCCCTTCCTGATCCATGATTACTCTGACCCTATTTTTCTGGGTCAGGGCCTCAGTCTTACTCCCAAAATTCCCAGCAATGGGTATCCTCTCTCACCCATCAT